ACAGCAGCGTTCTCTAGGTTATCAGACTTCAGTAAACAAGAAAAAGTAGTAGATAACATCAGATGAATCTAACATGGTGACAGCAACCAACTGAAGATTGACAGTATGTATTGAAATTCATATAGGTGGTGTAGGCCATGATTCAGAGTTGCTATAGATGACTAGAGTGTATCTGCATGCTTCATACAAACCATGGCATCTCTGCAGACTCTTGTGTTTCTCATCTTTCAAGTTTGGGTGAGGGTCTAACCTATAGAGGGAATTTTACATAATAAGATGCCCTTTTCTGAATTCATGCCTTACACATTCAGTGTATGGTGAGCCAGACCAAAAATATAAGCCAATTTACCAAAACTAAGAACTCCCTAATCTAGTTTGGAAAATGGTAATATGTAGGTCCTGGGCCCAGCAGCTCTGCAAGACTTCAATTCCAAGACAGAAAGGTAACTAGGTCTTCTGAATTAAGTAGCGAAGCCAGGCCAACCTTTTCTCATGAAAGAGAATAGTGTTGTAAACTTAAAATGCAGAAACCTTCTGTTAGAAGGAGGGAGTCCAAATCTTTTCTCTACACGTGTCAAAAATTAAAGACGTCACATTTCTGATCTAATTGCTTAATGGTTATATATCATTAAATAATTTCAAAAAGATTTTTTACAACTGGTTAGGCAACTTCAGGAGAAGTCACTATGAATTTAACTTTCTCTTACAACTTAGGTTCATAATTGAGTTGTTCATTGCTATTAATAACACCAAAATGCAGAACTTCACTTAGTAAATTGTAAACTTTATTTTTTCTTGGTGCCAGAGTACTTTGCATAAAAATTGTCCTCTGAAAGAGTAAAAGGATACACTTTATAATCTTTGCTTTACAGCTTACGTTTGGCAGATACATTACCACTGCCTTTTATAGCAGATTTCTATATAAACTTGGTTGTAACACTGCACTTTCAATTACAGATGAAATTCTGGAAACAATGAAGAAAAGTGGCTTAGAAGGCACACGAGTACTCTCCAGGCAAGCAGGACAAGAGATGCTGACTATCCTCAAATTTAGGAAGTCTTGATAACTGCTCTCAACCTTCCAGATGGCACGCAGAAAGTTGAACACACAGTACTGAAGGTGTCAAATCAATTTTTAAGCCAGGATTTTTACCCTCTTAAGGTGTATCCTCACTTCCTGATTACTATGGTGAAACTCATCAAGATTCTGTATTTATTTTTAATCTGGATGTAACCTCTGCTGTCAGAGGTACAGCTGTCCTCTGGCTATCTGAAGGACAGTTGTGGGGGAACTGTGAAATACCTTGCCCTGCTGCATTTACACTGAAGGACTAAAGACTTTTTCCTCTATAAATAGGTATCTGTATATTTGTCCCTATGGCTTATTAAAATTATATATATTATATATATTATTTGATATAATTCTTCCTGTTTTAATAGCTAGTCTATACCTATGCTGGGTTGAAATGAATACTTGCAATGAGTGTTACTCATTTTGATGTAGCATCAGGCACTTTTACAGGTCTAAGGCACAGTTACTGAGTTTGTTTCTGTTATAAGGAACCAGTGTACTTCTGAACAGAAAGATGCAGTAAGTGTATCTATCTCCAGAGCTGGGACAAAGGGAAGTCCTCTGGGCAGTACTGTGGTGATTGTGCTCTCTTTTATGCCATTTTACAAGGAGGGTAATACAACGGAGTATTTCAGATTAGATGAAGGGTTCTCATACGTGAAGTTGGGGGGGGAAGGGGAAGCATATGAGGTGCTATTAAAAAGGCTAGTTAATGGGTGGCTGAAAACAATGACTGTCAGTAAGGAAGTGGAATAAAAGCCCTCCCTCAAAATCACTATCCAAAAGGGGAAGCTATTTCCTGACCACCAGACCCTGATGAAGAGCTTTCCTCTGCAGCTGCCTCCTCCTCCCGGTACCTACAGAAGGTTCTGATAGAGCATTGTCCCAGCGGTGCTAAGAGACATGTGCTGCGTGGTGGGAACAGGCCTATGAGGAAGGTGTTTGGCTCACACCCAGCACCACTACTGCTGTCTGGGAGATGCTTTCAAAGAAACTGACTTTGAAGGTTTTTTTCCAAGTGATGTTATGATGAACTGTTAGCTAGCTTTTTTTAATGGGGACTAAGGTCACAAGGGTTTTTTTTTTTTGTAGAATGCCGAGGCACTGTAAAGACTATTCCATTTAAGACTTCAGAACTAAACTTAACGACTCTGTAGTTACCCACCTTGCACAAACATTAAAAGTTCTTCCATTTTTTGAGCTGACCACCCAAAAAACTTATCTAGGAGATTGAAAAAAAGGAGGTTTAGGACAGGGAGAATAACACATAAGCATAGGTGCTGTTAGCAGAAACATGGGACTGCAAACCTCACTCAACCATTTGAGGTATCTTACTGGAAAAGAATGTGAGAAGCTACTTTAGACTCATACAGGTCAAAAGTCAACTTACGATGGTCTGGTATCAAAGTTGTTCCTTATACCATCCTGGAGAAAATACAAAAAGGACTGGATTGCAGGAATTGTGCAAAGGTGATTATTTTACATCCTAAGGGTCACCATTCCCCAGCTTCTAAGACCACTGAAGAGCAACACTGCAATTCAACAATTCAAGCACAGGTAATGCATCCTCTTCAGTAACTTTTCTGTCAAATTGTTTTTATATAGCTAAAGAGGAATGTGAATGCAAACACACAGTAGAAGGCTTTAAAGAAACTAGTACTTCTAGTACTTGAAACTACTGAGTCTGAAAAAAAAATACACATTTCATTGACCGAAGTGAGGCGACTCTTGGGACTTTGTTGATTCTTGCCTTCTGAATAATTTGTTTAAGGAATGTCAAAAGTGAGAAACTGAGAGGAAACTTTGTGACCATCTGTGAAATAACATGTTTCCACAATTTTCCATTGAAGAATTTAAGCAGCCTTTTGTTCTTGCAGCTTACCAGCTGGTCAGTTCTGAAGTGTCATTTTTAATTTGCTTCCTAATTCTAGAATCTTTTTGACTTGATGGCAGACCCTTTGCTAAGCCACACTTTTTTTTTTGTTGTTCAGTTCCCCCTTACAAAACTGCAAGGAGAGGAGGATTTATGCTTGGTGATTTTACTTTTATGTAGAATCATGGGGTTTGAGGTTATAATTATAGCAGTAGAGCTATTTGTATAAACCAAAATGCTGTCATCCTTAGACAGCTCTGGAAGTTTTATGTTGCTAACCACTTTGCTTAACGAAGTTAGGTTGCTGAGCAAAAAATCACAACAGCAAAAGAAGACTTTAAGATGTAGTCAAAACATAGTAGAATCAGACCACAGGTTTAACAAAAGGAAGTTTTAGTTAATCTGTCTAGCTTTTAGCTACAGCTGAAGAATTAGTTTTAAAAGGTAATCAAAGATAAAAAGGGGCAGACATCTGGCACGGTAGATCACGATGCTTATCAGCATATGCAGTTTTAAATTATAAAGGACAGAATAATGAAAAACCGAACAGGAGATCAGAACAGAAAGTGTAATAAAGCATGACATGCTTTCAACAAAAAATTATTTCACTGGACTAGTTAACAACTGGATATTTGACAAGGAACTGTATGTGTCCACTTTAATGAATCGTAAGTCAGTTCTGGCCCCACAGTCCTGCTGCCTGCTGTAATTTCAGTGGAAGCACTTGCCAAAATAAATCCGAGTAAGGACAGAGGTGACTTCTGTAAGAACTGACTTCTGTTATGCTCCCATCACCCTGGTGAAGACTGGGAACTAGTGAAAGACCAGGTGACTTTTTATTTTTCCCTTTTTTTTTTTTCTAAATTTTGAAATCTGCTGTGTCTGCACAGAGGTCCGCACGTACACTTAGCATTTGCCAGGGCATTCCTATTCCCACAACTGGATATTTGACAAGGAACTGTATGTGTCCACTTTAATGAATCGTAAGTCAGTTCTGGCCCCACAGTCCTGCTGCCTGCTGTAATTTCAGTGGAAGCACTTGCCAAAATAAATCCGAGTAAGGACAGAGGTGACTTCTGTAAGAACTGACTTCTGTTATGCTCCCATCACCCTGGTGAAGACTGGGAACTAGTGAAAGACCAGGTGACTTTTTATTTTTCCCTTTTTTTTTTTTTTAAATTTTGAAATTTGCTGTGTCTGCACAGAGGTCCGCACGTACACTTAGCATTTGCCAGGGCATTCCTATTCTCCTAGGAAGGCCAAAGGATGTAATGCTTTCTGGAGAGTTTTGGGAAGCATATTCCTGCATTCAGTGCACATGAGAATAAGCTGCATGGCAGATACAGACTTCCTACGTAATGTCAAGCTTGCCCAGAAGAAAGCAAAAATTCTGCCCTTGTTGACAGGCACCGCTCTGTCACCAAGCACCAGTGTCAAAAGACATAGTGCTATGAGGCGAGTGCCTGCACCTCTTTGTTCTAGCAGAACCAAGACAAAAGCTCTCCACAAGGCTGCTCCCAGTAGACAATTTGCAAGTTAGGGTCTGCGGACAAGTTTAAGATGGCTCTCTTCCAGCAATACCTGGTTAACCACAACTGCCCTTCAAATCAGTTATTTAACTTGCAAAAAAAGTAATCTAGAATAACCAGTCTTGTTTGAAATGAAGTGATGCAACTGAGACAATCCTGGAGGTTTCATATCAGTAATTATGAAGACAATACAGCTTGCTCTTTAATCTGTGCTTTCAGAACTTTTCAGTATCAGCTTTATATACCAGTTTTAAATCCTGTCCTTTCTCTCTTTCTCAAAAAGTGTCAGAAACTTCTCTTCTGGATGTCTGGATGCCCAGCGTTACCTGTTATCAACAGCTAAAAATAATTTCTAGCGCTGTGACCTCAAAAAGGACCAATTTTAGGAAAACATACAGAATCTAAAATAAGCAACTCTTGAGGTACAGCCAATTGATCATGCTATAAACTTGGCACCTGAAAACGTATACTAATAATTTCTGAAAGTTTATTATCACACATGGGAAAAAGCAATCCAGAGACTGCAAAGGCTGCCCAAATTCATTTATTCCTCCCCTTTTATTAACTTTTCAAAGAAATCCACCACAAATACCACCCAAGTTAGAATATATTAGTATGTTACTGCTGTTAAAAGAAAAGCATGAAATAAACATATAGTTGAAATTGAGACAATATTAAATTCTGACGCGTCTGTCACATTCATTTAAGAGTCATTATTACGGGACAGTGGAAGTACAATCTACAATCAGTGATAATTAAATTGCCAGCTAATGAAGCCATTAACTGCAATCATGAAAACAAGAATTGATCACTGCATATGCCTTCTCTTTAAAAAGCCAATTGTCAATAAAGAGGTAGTGTTTTTCATGGTCATGCAGGAACGATTGTACTCTCTCTACTTACTTGGGCTTCCAAGTTTTCATGTTTTTAGGGTGCTGGATGGCTGAGGTTTTTTGGGAAAATGAGACTGTTAATGGTGAAAGCTCAGTTTATAAACACCTTAGTTTAGAGCATGCCATGTTTAAATTTTATGCTTTAACAGAAGGTTATCATGCTAGTTCCATGCCTTAATGTCTAACAGCAACAACATCCTTTTTTCCCCGCCATAAAAGAAACTACCATGTATGTACTAAAACCCAAGTCTTTATACCATCTATGTTAAATTCACCTGTTATATTAAGAGGCGTGATCTGGGTTAAGTGCATAACGCCATGTTAGAATATACCTAAAATAAAGAGGTTTTAATCAGCTATGCCGTGGCTTAAACACCACTTTTCAGACTTAACTCTACATTATTTCTGTATTTTTAACATATCTCAATACCTTGAAAATATACAAATTAAAATAAATTATTCTTATATATTTCTTTATATCAAAGAAGAATCTTCAAACTTACAAAAAACAGTCCAGAGGTAAATATGGGTCATATCCCACTAGTCAAAAATCTAAGTAACTGACAGTATTTCCAAGTAGTTTGCTTCTTTCAACATACAGTTTATTGCCTCCTCCTCTTCATTTATTACTGAGTTCACAAAAGGAAGAAAGACCATTTTATTTCAGAAAAACGTCTCTCGACAGAGTGGACAGGTGGATTTGTTGCTGGATGTGAACCATTTGTACTGGAAGAGAAAGACAACTGTTTAATATACAAATGGAAGCTGAATATCAAGAAGGCTGGTTTATCAGTCACCAATAATAACCATTATTCACCAATGAATATAATTATCAAAACACGAACTACACTTTAAAAAAAACACACCAAGACGACACAGTGAAAAAACCCAACCCTTTCCACTTGTGTATATATGCATGTATATATATATATACACACACATACAGACACAATACTAAAGTTTTATTAAAAAAAAACCCAAACTGACATAAAGGAATTCTCACCCAGTGTCATTTTAGAATAAAAAGCTAGCGTTTTTGAAGCAGCAATAACTCATCCGTGCTATAGCCATAGAGATGCCAACCTGTTCCATGCAACCAATGCCTATCTCTATTTGGATACAGCTAAATGTTAATTATCCAGATCAGCAGGGTTTACTAAAGAGCATGCTGCATAAATTGAAATTTAACCTTTTCTGTTTCCATATCTGAACTGGTAACAAGAAGACGCTGTTGCTACACCCTATGTGGATGTAATGGCTTATGTCTTAGTGAACGCGACATGGATAGTTCAAAAGTGGGTAGTACAAAAAATGGATAGTACAAAATCCATACAAATAGTTCCATTAATCCCAAAGATTCCAACAAGATAATGGAGAACTAATGGTATTACAACAGAAGTTCCTTGTTCAAACTGTAAATGGATATTCTGCCTACTTAAAAGCATTCAGTCTAGGCACTTACCAGGCAAGCTGAATGAAACTTTTTCTTGCACGTTCTGCAAGCTTTTTTAGGAAGAGAATAGTTGGAGCCATGAATGACTGAAAAACAGATCATGCAATCTTCAATGCCCTCAAAACGTTTATCCACATTATTTTTCCACAACGTTAAGCCTTCCATTATACTTCCATTCTAACAGAGAGAAAAGAGCTGTTAATGCTGCAGAATTCCTTCAGAATATTCTTACTGTTATTCCTAAATACATGAAGGAAACAAAGCCTGAAGGATTTATAACCTGAAATCACAGGCAATATATGCAGTGAGCAATTTATAGAGCCAACACATGAAATACAGATGACAGTCTGATCTATAGAAGTGCAAGCATCCATTACAATGAAAAGAACGCACTTACAAGGGGATTTTAAAATTTTTAATCACTGTTTTGTTGTGTTCTAACCATAGATGATGCAACTTCAGCAACCACCAATCTATTAGAGAATATCATGTACTGGGGTTTTTGTTGTTTTTGGTTTTTTGGTTTTTTTTAAATTTATAGTCGAGATGGCTGACATGGTTTGGGCTGGGCTGGCCACTCAAATGAACAACAGATGGTCTCTTTAAACCAGGACAGATAGCATTGCCACACGGGGCAAACAGTGGCCCATGTCTTAAGAGGTCTAAATTTTTAACTTTGGCTATAGATTTAAAAGGACTTATTAAGTGGTAATTTTACCTCTCTGTGTCAGCATGTGGAGAAAACCAGATGGCAACAGTGACCAATTCTACGAAGTCCTTTGAGATCTACTGATGAGATTCCTTATACCGATCTAAATAATATTACATTACTAGGAATATTTTTCTAGTCTCAGGACTCTTAAGTTTTCAAAACGATGGGCTTTCTCTAAACTCACCTGATGTGTCAGATACGTGCTCAACTGCAGCATCCAATTGCGCCATTGCTGTACTGCCACACCAACCCTCTTCCCACTCTCAACTGTTATAGATCCCAGCGGGTAATTGGATGGAAGCTGGATTATTAGTTCAATAAATATGTCATCAACTGAATAAGTAGCGATGACTTCCCGTGCAGCAGACCGAGCTTTCACCTATGAAGACAACGCACATATTGAAAAACTCCACAGGGATACGCACCATCTCCGGTCCTTTTATACATATATATAAACCATGAATACTTTACTACACACATTAAATAATTTCCTTACACCAGGAAAACACTTTTCTCAAAGAAAATAAAAATCCCCTCCTATCTTGGCAAACCAAAAAGAAATTACCAGCCATTTTTCAATCCACTTATTACATTTTTTAATAAACCAAAAAGAAGTAATATTGATAGCATTATCTTCCACTTACCCACTCAACTTCTCCAACATCATAAAAACCATTCTTTTCTATATTTTCCAAACAGAATATTAATAAACATCAACTTAATATATCAATACCAAGCTAAATTGTGTTTTCATCAGTCATTCAGAATAACAAAAATGCAATCGTATACAACACTGTAACACAGTCTGGTTCTGAAAAGTAACATTTCTTAAAATGTTTACAAAAAAACTAAAGTAAATCAAAATAAAAGAAAAAGTCTTACTAACCGTTATGCCATTAAGTAACTGTGTGCTATTCTGAACAGAAGATATTTCCTGTGAAGAAAGCACGCTGCTGACATACTTGCTTGTAAATTTATCTACGACATTGAAGACACGTTTCTCACAGCTATTCCACCAAAGCCTGACCATGGCTGGCAAGTCTTTCAGCGTTATATGGTACACAGAGCAGGCCAAGTGTGGGATCTGGGATGACAGGACTCCAGTCCCTGGGAGGAAAAGAAAGGATGTTGAAATACTCTTAACGCATTAGTCACAAACGCTGCTTCGGCCACACCACAAACAAAAATTTTGATACCAACACAACGGTGGTAACTGGAATTTCACGTACGTGCTCCTTCTGTATTTGCTACCATTAATGCTTGTTTGACTCTGTCTTTCTCCATGAGTCTGGTTCCTTTGTTTCTCAGGCTAACACTTCACAACCAGAAACTCATCTTCTAATTTAGAGATGAACTCTTGGTGAACTACCAGAAATCAAGAATAATTTTAAATTCTGGAAATGACAAAACGTTCACTAATAAGATGTTTGGAGTACACCTGAGATTTGCAGTGTTCTACAGAAGGCATAAAGAGAAAAGGGAAATCTTTCTCTTGGGATATCACGTTAGTAATTCTTTCTTACCGTCCTCCAGATAAATCATTCTGTAACATACAGTGATGTTCAAGCAAAAAATTAAGAAGTGAGAACTCAATATCTTTGCTTACAGGTATATTTAAATACAGGTTACAGGTACATTAAAAAAAAAAATCTCAATGAAGTTACTTTCATAACTAATTCTCTTTTTCATATTTCTCAGCTAAAAAAATCCAGCCTCTCTTCTCTCATCACGGTTGATTAACTCTGGGTCTTCTGAACAGTGTGACGAAAACACCGCATAATTTAACGCCTCAAAAAATTTTAAACAATATTAAAATTTATTTTTGTTTCTTATTTATGTATCAAAACAGAAGAAAAAATAGAAATTCTATTTAGTATAAAAAAATTACCTAGAAGAAATGGAAAAGTTCCAGAATAAATCACACATTTTTAGTTATTCTGGAATCTTTGCATACATGCAGGATTCAGATAGAAGCAATGTATTACTTCTGCCCTAAGGGAATAATCTAAGCATTTCCTGCTTGCTTAGGTTTTTTTTTCTTGATTTTCCTCATAAATATTTCAACTTTGTTTAAGGTTCAAATGGAGAGTGTTAGCCAAAGATTTTTAAACATTTGTATGTATTTGTGTATTTTATAGGTAAGATTTTCTAAATATGTATTTTAAGCAGAAAAAATATTTAAACCAGCAAAAAAAATTCTCTCAAATGCAAAAATACAGTTTTTACTAACCTTTAACATCCAAATGAAGCTCTTCAGTAAAGAAGGTTTTTGTGTCCTTATTTGGAACTTCTGAAGTTGGCCCAGAAAAGACAGGGTTTTCAGGCATAAGCCGGAACAAGTGATAAAGCAGTTTATTCAAGCTTTTAGTTCTTCTAAGGTATTGAGAGTAGAGAACTCGCAGCTGAGAGTGTTAAAAAAAAAAAACAAACCACAACTAAACAAACCACAAAATACAGATGAGACTTAGCAAACATAGCTTAATCTGTAAATAATACAAAGATGTTTCTGTAGGGAGGAGAAGCAAGACTGTGATTCAGAACAAGTGTTTAGAAGAGTAATTTAGTTCTCTGCACCATTTTGAACGATTATAAAATGTAGCAAGCTTGTTTGAGGATGCCAGAAAGAATAATCTATTAATGTATCTTAATTCTTTATAATTACCATCCTTAACTATTGCAGTGCAGAAGCATAAGTCTGTTAATACTTTCAGAATTCCACTAATTCCACAAAACCAAGATGTAAGAACATACAAAATTGAAAGCATGTAAATGCTGGATGAAACTTCAAGATTCAAAGCAAATAAGCATGTTAAGAAATTCAATTAAAAGGAAAAGACTCTGAACATATACCTGAGAAGAAGCCGCCTTGAAGAAAGCTAAAGTTAACTTCCAAGTGAGAAGATAACCTAGAACAAGGCAGAACTCATCGCTCAGGGGCTGAATGACTGCAAATTCTCCAACTGGAATGCATTCCAGGATGTTTTCTAGCAGGAGTTCTTGAGTGGCCAGGACAGACATAAGAGCTGCTGGAGGCGATCTATGGACAAATGTTATTTGGTATAGTAAATTTAAATCTTGAGCAGAGCATTAACTACATTTATATTCACAGTGTTCCTAAACAGCTGATAGTAAGCTATGTATGTAGAACATAAAAGGGGCCTTTTCTTACAGGAAAATTTACTGTCATATTCACACAGTACTATACTTTAAGATTTTTTGGTTTTTTTTCCCTGGAATGGACAGCTGGTGTTTTAACCTCTCGCAAGACAAATATAAACTGAATGTTGATCACTTTAGTCTGAAAGTGGTCTATGGCTGAGCTGATTTAACCTAGATCATGTACAGCTGGTTTGCTTTCTTCTTTGTCCGTCGAGTGACACCAACAAAGGAGCAACTGAACAATGCATCTCCTCATCACTGAATGTGTTGGGTTTGGGCTTTCGCATTGGATTAAAAAGCCTTTTGCAGCTGCATAGTAAGGAGAGGTATTAATCATTGCGCTGAGGTAAAAAAAAAAATATTTATTTAAAAACAATTACCATATTCCCTCTTCAAACTGTTGACTTTATCAGATTCAAGCTGTATAAAACAGCCTGGTCAATTTTGGAGGTTCAAGAAACTGAAGTTACCTGTGCAGCTGGACACATTCCGAATACAGCAGTCCAGTAAAAATCTGTCACCATTTGACAATATAGAACATATGTGTTACACTTACTCTAGTAACAATTTTGCACTTACTCTAGTAACAATTGAAAATAATTGCAAATATTGCTTCCAGACCTAGCACGAACGCATACTTGAATATTTATATTTAAGATTGTCAATATTTATGACCCTACTGTCATAGCCATGTCATTTTTTTCTTTCAACTTCTCCTGACAGATGGCTACACTGCTGCAAATCTCAACTCTTGCAACACATTTAAAAAATACAGAAAACAGTAATTAAAAAACATGAGGAAAAAATACACACAATGCCAATTCCTCCTCTTCGTCACCGTAAGATTTGAGATCTTTGTCATCAAATGTAGGCAATTCAGGCATTAATCTATAGAAATACGGAAAGGAAATCAGATTTAATTTTTACTATTTTAATACGTGATGCATAGTTCTTTGCTTATTAGTGTCAACATTAATGATAAGCAATAAAATAATGGCAATTACTCCTTAATACCAACACAGAATTTTTAAGACGTATGTCACCATTGCAAATTTAGTGCCCAAGTGACAGTAGCCAACGAGCATGTAGTCTTGCTCTGTTCTTTTCCAGACCTTTTACGCTTCTTGAGTCATGATAAAATAAACTTCTCCATCTCGGAATAAAGCTATTGCAACTTCATGCCCCAGTGGAAGTAAAAGATAATGGTAGCTTCTTAGGCTTAAGCCATCTGCCTCACAATCTGCATTTTGAGCAGTCAAATGCACATACTATTATTCAAATTCTGTACTGTCTCTTTTGGTATTAGAGATATCCAAAAAGTTCACAAGAATACTACAAATTTGTATTCACTTTCTTCATTTTCTTATCTTAACTAGTGAAAATGAAAAGGTTATACTACTGAATGATACTGTCAGACCCAGATCAAACCTGCAATATTTCAGTTTACATTTTAGGATTCTCTGAGTGTTAAAATAGGGGCTAAAAATAAATAGCTTTATAGTTATGATACTGGTATCTGCAACTGTGGTACAGAAAACAAAATTATATCTTCACGTACTGCAGTAAAATTTCTCAGTATATATTTCGTTTACTTTTACAACTAAATTTAGCATTTGTAGCTTTATAGAATGCTCTCCAATACAGAACACGAATTGCCGAATTCAGGATTTTCTCCCATAATGGACCATGACTTTGCTAAACACATCTATAAATGCATGTTCTATAGCATATGAAAAAACATAGAAAGGGTTGGGAGGCACGTGGAAGGAAGGTGAGGGAAGTAAGAAATTTGTTGATTCTTACTTATACAACATATGGTAGACAGAAATCTGTACAGGTCTAGCCCGGAAAAGCAACAAGGGAGATAATGTATTTAGTAGAGTTTGGAGTTTATCTGGAAGATTTGTTTTCTGGCCTGCAACAAACTTTGCTGGCAATTTATGGTTTAACAACTGGTCCTTCGAGATGTATGTTAGAGCTTCACCCAAAGACGTTAAGACAGAGTTCTGAAAGGAGCCTTCAGATGCATTTTTGGTTTCTCCTATTTAAAAAAGAGAAAGAGAAGCTGTGACACAGAATGTATGGATGATATCATAAACAAGTATTACTAGAAATAACTCAAACTCTGTTTATCAGAATCCATCGAATCTTAAAAGTCACGATATTAAGTGCAATTACTTCACTAATTAGCACGTAAGTGTTCAAAAAAGTGAGTTTTTATAAGCTATGTTGACATAATATTCCTAAAAATTAATAATACAGCATGGCAAATTAGCCTGACAGGCACCACTATTACCCTCCTTGCCTTATACTTGCCTGTGACTTTCACCAACAAAGGTAACAGCAAATTGTGAATTCCTTCAGAAAAGAATTCTTTCCATTCACTGATCAAGTTCACAGGAAGGTTTTCAATAGTTTCAGGAGATGGAGCTTCAAAGTAAGCACTAAGGGCAGATGCTAAGTCACAACTGACACAAGCAAAAATCTGCACGAGCGGGACATGATAAAGCGCATGGTTTTCACTTGTTGTCTAGGAGGAAAAAATAAAAGGAAGATTTCTTAACTATAAATTTGCTTTAAAATACCTGTTTCACATTCCCTGCCTACACCAGAAAGTGTCATTTCAAAGACAACTCAATTGCAAAGCCACTTTAAAACAATTTGGGAGAAAAAAAGAAAAAAGCTTAAAAATATAATCTGTATTTTAGTAAATTATTACTGAAAAGTATTTCCAAGTCTCACCAACATTCAGAATCCTGGATTGTTTCCCTTATATGACCTCCTTTATAATGACAGAAAGAAACTGCCACCAAGTGGATTCAAACAGAAATGTACATGACTGTAGCTTATCTGGAGCACTTGTGCAGCCAAGTGAGTCAAAATGGATATATGAAGGGCTCTCACTTTTCTCTCCCAAACATATAAGCGTAACCAATGTGTTGCTTGTGTTTCCAAATTGCAGAAGGAAACTGGCAATTTACTACTGTAATCTGGAAATTACTGAAGTGGCGATCAGGAGAATATTTTATCTCCCCCAACATAGCCCCTTCTTCTTACTTTTATTCTCCTCAGTTTTACCAAATAAGGAATATCATTATATATTTACAATATTCCCAAGCACCTAATCTGTGCAACAAATTTTTTATACAAGTTTGTTGTTTCTTTTGTAGGTTTTTTGTCTTGTTTTGTTTTGAAATTGAAAAAATAGTTTTGAGGGACACACAGAACAGGAAAGATTAATCCTGAGACCAAAAATGCCCAAATGTAAGCTTCCAGCCTGCCCTTCTAAGTGTGTAGTGACAGAGGGTGCTACAATTGTTTAAAAACAGAAAAACAACTCCAACCAAACAAAAAAAAAAGCACTAGAGGGTGAGAGATTCTGTATCTTCATTTGACTAAAGAATTATTCAGCTGTTCACTCTGACTTATTTTCTAACATTAGAATATAATTTTGATGTTTCATGTGATCATTTAGATATTGAAATGCAGATACTGCTTTTCATTCAGTTAATTTTTGTATGTCATGTTAAGACTTTGGTCTTAAAGGGATATTATTTTTCAACATAGAAGCCTACAGCAGACACATTTCAAATTACTCTCCAATTACCAATGCCATTCCTAAACACTGTATTACTTCAAGGGGGGGGTAATTTCAGCTCCATATACAAAAAGGAACAGGAGATACAGTATTGCTTGTGCTTTTAAGCCACACATGACTTTTGTCAAAGTTCAACGAATAAAGAATTTTGTGCAATTCTTTTTAACATTGTGTCAAGTATTTGCTAAGCTGAGATAACGATGTCCCTGCCATATCCAGAGAATAATGTAAAAAGCTAAGTACATCAAAACTGGAGATGCAATATTAGCACTCATGCAGTAGGTAAAGCTTTTTTCTTAGTTCTGTATTTCAATTGAGATGCTTTTTAAAATACGTTATCTTTGAAATGCTGAGTTCCCAGCTATTAATATCAATCATTACTCTAAAATACTAGAAAGTTAACAAACGCATTAGACGAAACGAAGTTAAAATTAAGACCACTGAGTTCTAAACTCTAAGAAAGAATGATTAGGAGCACTCTGACTTCCATTCATCTTGGCAATCCTCATGCATCTTTGTTCCAATGTAATTGCTATGTGGCATAGCTTCTACAACGTTTTATTATATCATCCTGACACCCAACCTTCCACTTTAAAAGTTCATCTATCTATTTACAAACATATAGCTTTCAAAGATTTAGGATGAAATGTTGACCAGGCAGCCCAGTGAGATTATAAAAATGTAGTTATTTTGTAGCATATTTTTTTTATCCTGCCCACCCCTATAGGTTCAGAGGGCATCAGGAGGATCCTATGAAAAGCTGCAATGCAATGATTAGCAATAGTCTCTTTCATGATACCTCTAACCAGGCCAGCATGGAGCACATGATGAAGTCCCATTCCTTATCGGTCAAAGGAGCTGTGGGATACTTCAGCAGCAAGGGAAGGTATCGCATCATCTCTATGTTGAAACCAAGCAACTGAGCACTCGTTTCTTTCAGATTGCTGCAAGAAAAATACAACTAAGGCTTACACATATTCATGTTGTGGACACAAATATCTATATTCTTGCCTTCACTCCTCTTCTTAGGACAAATTAGTCTTGCACCAGGCTCTGCCCCACGCGCTTTTCATGCTCTGCCTCTCAGAGTTAGAACACTACATTAGCTGCCAAGTCTAAATAAGTCAGTCAACAGGAACAAAATTGACTATCAGAGCTACTTGCTGATTTGCATACTATAAAGATTCCTAAAACTGCACAAATTTTCATATTCACTCAAGTTACATAATTCTATAAACTATCAAATTTAGCAATTTAAAATAAAATAATGCAAGAAAAATAATCAGTTATTTTTAAAATTAGTAACTTAAAAAATAAGCCCTCAAGTGTCCAAATATTGTCTATTATTTCAAGACTTTATTGCCTGGATTTTTCTCACTATACTCAAAACAAATGAACCTCAGTATATTTTCACTTCTTGCCGGAAGCTTTCCAAGTTACATTTTCAGATCCAGAAATTAAAAATACCCAAAGACCTACATTTGATATCCAAGTACTCTTCCTGCTACCTAAATAAGCAATCAGAATTTGGAACCGAGTATCCAGCAACACCTACAAAAGCTGGTCAGTTCTGAATGCTTGACATCTAGGTGCATTAAGAAAGCTCCTCGTTTCCCTGCCTTCAACCACTCAGGTAACTTTCTTCAGTACGAGTTATTAGATACTTCAAGACTGGTATATTAAACTGAGGGATGCAGTTCCACAAAGGCTTAAAAATGTAATATTAGAGCTAATATTAGAGATAGTGGTTGTAACTTACTAATTGATTTTGTTCGAGTTAATAACCACTTTGTATTTTTAAAGTCTTTAGAAACTAAAAAAAGTCAAATTATCTCAAAGTTGCACCCACCAGCTAAAGAGAAAGCTGTCCTCATTATCATTTTTCCAAGACATTATGATTTTTAGTATTCCAGGTAGTAGATCAATACTTCTATCATCCAAGCAGGAGTTCAAAATGGAAAGACACCCAAATGCTCCTTTAACACAATAATAATAATTAAAAATAATAATAACAATAGTCATACTCAATAGGTCTTAATTATCAACACAAAGCAAACCTTGTAACATATGTCAATTGATTGGATTTTTTTATTTGAACTTAATATCATAAGATAGTTTGGATAATACCTAAGGTTTTTTCATTGAACACTTAAACCAGAGATGCCATTGTTAAATCAGAAATACTATATCCAACCCCTACTTAGAAAAAAACCCAAATCAACAAAAACCTCCTATAAGATTGTTGGTTTATACCATTAACAAAAAAGGGAAAATAACTGCTAAGATTTAAATCTATTTGTGCTACTGAAAATGTTGTATGCTAAGCAATAATTCAGGCAGATAATTAAGTAAATGTAACTGCAAATCATGAATTCCAATAATGATTTAAGAGTGTTAATTTCTACTGTCAGAGTAAAGTACTACTGTTGTATTAGTACTGTTTTCCATTTTTAAGGAAAACTGCATATAGATAGATTTCTTGGAGAAACCAACATTTTTTCCAAGCATGACAAAAAATAATTAAGTAAATTAAAGTATTATTTATGCATAGCAAAACCAACCAACCAACCAAACCTCTTCGCTTAAGCAGTAGTGCAATGTTTTACAAGAATTTTACCAGCATTTTACTGCTCTGAAAAAATAATTACAATTTGAATGGTAAGCCCATAATCTACATCACACTTGATGGGAAAATTTGTATATATATTTTTTCTGCTCAGGAATCCCTAGGAAAATGAGAAGCAGCAGAAAGGAAAATGCAGACCAGTGTTACACACGAGAGCACTTCACAGCAGGAGAGAAGTGAGGATCCTTTTTCCCATGTTCTCTATAAAGTTTCACAGACACATTCAGTTGGTTCATCAGTTCACTCAGAAAGTCAGGAAGGCTTAACTAAGTCCAAAAAGTGTCTCCCAAAAAGGGAAAAGGGAAAACTACCACAGTAGAAAAATTCAAGGTTCCTCTCAATTCCTGCACCACATTAACACTGAAAATTTTCACATTTTAAGGACATCTATTTGAAGAACTCATCTGAAAACCTGGACACTGCCAAGGGACAGAAGTCCACAGCTTAAAATCACCAAAGATAGTTTTTTCAATTTAAGTAAGCACAGTCCTGTCAAAAAATACAAAATCAACCTTCAAGTTTTTATATAGACTGATTAATAAGACCATGTGCAAGAAAGCACAGAAGCAGTACTTAGAGAATAAAGGAATTTCTTTCTTTTAAATGACATCTAATTCAAAAGGACCGTTTGTATTTCTAAAGAGTTTTCTTGAAAATGAACAAGTTATTTTTTTTAAAAAAAAAGGTCTTCTAAAAGATATTCAAAGCAATATTATAACACATCTCAATCACCCCAAAGTAATTTTTCAATAGCTGCTGAAAGTGTATGTACAGTAGCTGTGACTCAGCACAATATATCCTTTTAACAATATTGGCCTACAACTTTAGTTCTAATTTTGGACCAGGCAGTATAGCTCATACTTCCTTAATAAGGCAGAAAACTACTACGCCAAACAGTCTAAAAGAAATACACAAACTGAAGTGGACTGAGGTAGGAACAGACTCACCATCGGTACTGGAAAGCTCTGTCTGTGTGCACGTCATAAGTTTGGCCACACAGTGGAAGACAAGCTCATTCTTTTCTTCCTCAATTAAAAAAGGTGATAGACACTGAAGCGTATGCAGTTTGCCCTCTGTTAATGGCACAAACCTATTCATACATGCAAAACATCAAGAATGAAACAAACCAAAATTTTAACTAGTAAACAAAATTATCAATTGTTTCATAATGACCTAATATCATATGATGTAACCAATCCCACACACCGAGTTTCACTTTTACATATACTACCAAATTTTCAGTATTAATGTCATTCATTAGAATACATATCATTTAACATTATCAACATTTGCAATGTAAACTAAAAGATTATAGGAAGCAGTGTTAAGATACCCTTCTGTTGTCTTAAAAAGTTGTTTCATCTCACAGGATACAGTGTTTTCTGCACGAATCACTTTAGCCATGGTTAAGGACCAGAGTCTTCCATGTTCCTCTGATCTGCAAACAAGAAAAAAGACCCTGGTTAGCAAATTCCGATGCACAGATCACAACAAAAGCATTTGGATGAAGTTTGAATCAATACATGTAAGGAAATATGGTGGCACCTAATACTTTATACAATGCAAAATATGAAAAAAGAGTTAAGGGTTGTTTTACTTGTTCTTACGTACCTATCAAATATTGTTTGCTGAAGGCTGGTTGTATTGCTAAGTGTACTGAACTTATCATATGTGATGTGCATTTCTTCTAACATGTGAAGATATTCCAGAAGCAGATCAGGAGGGTTCTCCAATTCTTCAATCCATTGCAATGAGTACAATAGCTCTGCAACTAATTAAACCAAGGTTGTTGTTTACAAACAACTGCTGATTATATTCAGTGCATAAGCAAGAAGTTTTAGGTCAAGGTTTTCTTGAGTTTTAAGTATGTTTTTAATGCATTAAAAAGACAACATTTACACACAATCTCAGGTGCTTCAAAGCATGAACTGGATACTTGACTTTGCTTCATGAAATATAAGAGAAGAAAAAGCTATAATTATTCTAGATGTTCAGGAAATTCTAAAGTAAATCAAGCATGAAAAAAACTAACTCCTCTCTATTTTCTGTTGTTTTTCCTTTTAATATTTATATTTCTTGCATAGAAGGTAATCAAGATCTAGGTCGAGAGAAAAACAAAAAAAGAAATGCTTCATTAGCTTACAAAGACCCACACTGAACATTACACTTCTCATCAGGGTGAGACTTTTGGAGACAGAAATGTTAATTTGATAATGTTGCCTCTAATTTGAGCATTCAATAAATAAAAAGAAATGAGATTCTACCTGGTCGAAATAAGAAAAATTGCTGCCTCAAAATATCTTTACATTATGACTAAACACTCAGGACATTTATTTGATGGCACAGGTGGATACAGTTCCTATTGCCCACTCATGCCAATGCACCTTTTATTTTGGCAATTAACAACTTTGAAGTTAATCACAAATTCATGCTTCTCCAAATTCAAAGTTCTGTTGAGGTAGCACGTATATAATCACAAAAGGTCCTAGAAACATAAACACTATAGTTGTGGAAATTTATACTTTTAAAGGAGAATTAAAGAAAGAAAAAGAAAACAACAAAAGGTAAAAGGACGATTTCTCATACCAATAATCCAAACTTTAACTATTCGTTTCTAATTATCAATTCATGTTCATTTACAACTACTATTAAATCAAATTCCTTTAAATTTTATCATTGTAACTTACTTATATTGTCAATTTTCTTTCTTTCAGTGTCATCATTTCCATGGACTAGACCATTTTCCAATACAAGTAGCACCATTTTACTTAACAAGGCTGAGGTACACAGATGGCCTGGAAGTTTAGTTGTGCCACACAGCTTGACACATGATCCCAAAGGTTCACAATTCATAGTAAGCCTTCCCTCCAAAAGAGGTTTGTGCATCCACTGTAATATGTGCATAAAAGAGTATGAGCAAATAATTGACATTTTAATGATGTCTGATAGAGCTATGATCTGTTTAAGCCTGAAAATTCAGAATTATTAAAAAATAACCATGAAAGATAAAAATTAACACCAAAAGCACAATGCTGAGGACGACCCTCTCCAGCATATTAAAAAACCTAAATGCACAGCAATAACTTGAAAATGCATTGTTGCCTCAGAAATAAATATGTATCTTTAGAACTCTATATATTTTACAAGAAATACCAGGGTTACTGAATATTGATGGTTGGACAAGAAGTTTATGTCCTTCCCCACGCTCCACTCTATGTATATCAGAATTTTGTTGATAGGGCATCATGTTCCTCTGCAGACATTGGTGTCTTTCATAAAATTAATTTTAAAGAACTATTAACTTACAGATAAGAATATATTCATGATGTATATTCTGTCAGACAAAACTCCTGAATTGTAAAGTGAGTTGCTGAGATTCTATGGAGAAAAGGGTAATTTCACAGATTTTGATTTTCCCCAGTAGTACTTCATGGGACCATAAACACACAGATTTTTGTCCTCTGTCATGGAAAGAGGCTGAAGAGAACTTTTACACAGGCATGCACATAGTCATAATTGCAGTGCCATGTCAAAATAAGGAATGCTTATCACCCTAAAGGCCAGAGACTTGAGGTAAGATTGATTACCGCGTGCATTTTCTTACCTCAGTGGGTAGAGACTCCTGCAATTTCCCCCACTCAGCTTTGCTTGGTGTGATATGCTCAATATACGCTCCCACAAGATATCCAGACTGTCCATCAGCTTCCATAAGCTTAGACAACAAATCACTAACTGCAGAGATCAAAACCTGAAGGCTGAGAAAAGGAGAAAACACTGCAAACGAATTTGGCACTATCCAGTAAAAGCAAACTGCTTTATTTTATGTCAATACAATGCTATATACATTGTATCAGTGTGATATACATGGCATACCAATGGCTTTTAAGTTATGCTCTACAGCACAGGCTGAAAATCTCTCAGTAACACAGATACCAATTAAATAAAGAATAGTATAGCGCTGATCTTCCTTTGCTTTGGAGAACAACATATTATGAAATGAACAAGGACATCACAATTACCTTTTAACATCCAAAGAGGAAGACTGTATTTGATTCTTGACCCACAGCGCAGACTTATGCAAAAAGGTACTCTGCTTCTGCATATTCCGAAGTTGATGCACAAGTGAATGTACACCAGACATCCAAGTGTGTTTTAATTTACATACAAGTAAATCTAGTGTAAGGAGAAAAACAAAGAGGCAAGTAAACCCATCACAAACAGGTAAACTCAAATTACAACCTACAGCATAGAGCCACGATCACATTTCCTGCAGCAGGAAAAGAATTCTCTCTTCTATGCAGATACATGCAATAACTACCAAGGGCAAACACACAGGTTTCTTGTTGTAGAGCAATTTTAAATTAACTCTGAGACACAGCTAATGTTTTCTTTAAGAATAACAGTGATGTTTCTGTTGTCTACTACAATATGTTCATATGGTCTTCAAAATGATAGACCTTTTTAAAATACTGAAATACTGAACATTCACAACATCAATACTCATTTGCAAAGTAGCAGTGATTTTCAGGTTAGTGTTGTCCTACTTCACCTCTATGACAACACTGCAACATTTCCTCCTTTGTATTTATGTCAATAAATTAATATACCAATTTATCACTCTCAAATTCTGCATTCAAAGAATATAAATCAGGATCTCAGTCTGAAAACGAATGCTGGTGGAGAGAGAAATGGATCACAGTTTGTCAGAGCAACTTGACCAATACAAATGACTTCAGAATAAATGTATGTGTCTTATGAAGTGATTACATACATGTTTTCATAGCAACCTCAAACTGTAGAATGAACAAAAAAAAATATGTTCATTCTTCATACTTCACAGACCTTAAATAATTCATGCAACACTCCACAAAGTGTGGAATATCACAGCCTCAAAGATAGCTGGGGCATAGGGATACAAACACCAAAAAAAGTTTTAAATCCTTGTGAAGAGGTACAGGACTTGATGTTTAGTAGTAACTACTGGCACTGTACACTAAAGCACAGATTTTCATGTCAGTTTCAGCTGCAAGAGATCAATGTCTCTGCAAGAAACTCAATATTCTATTATATACCTGTTGCATTCTTCAAAAAGAAGAATTTAGATGTAATTATCAACTACAAAAAAGTTTGAAGTTCTTTTACCAAATTACCTGTTAAATGCGTAGCATCCTGCTTCTGAGCACACAACTGGAAGATGGTAAGCAGCAAGTCTTCTGAAGATGGCATCAGTAAACACCCTTTAACTGAGCTGAAAAAGCTTGAGGCTACATCACAGATGAAAGATACTGATAGTTCAGAATTTCCAGCTTCAGAAAGATCCTTAGCTTTAGACAGAGCTGCTTGAAGTTTATCAATAATCCTTTCAACAAAAGCTTCGCCAATCAAAGATTCTATTGGGAAAAGGAAAAAGACAGCATACTTTGATTACTCAATAAAAACAACCATTCACAGGCATCATACTAAAAGGTACAGATTTGTTTTTTATTTACTAATTTTGAATGCAAAATAAAGTGCCAAGCAGTTGCAGTCTAATGTATACCTAAACTCTCTTATTCCAGTCATCCAGGATCACCTAGCCAAAGTTTCACATTGCCAAGTATCCTTCCTCTGAAGCAGCTTAGACAAAAAGTATTTTAAAGCAGCGCAAGTGCAGAGTTAACCCTTCCCCTTTCATGCCTTCCTACCTTTTGGGAATCAACTGAAAGCCAGAGATTACACCTGGACCATTGCATATAATTAGCCCAATCAGATCAATCTTCCAAGAATATGCTTAGTCTCTCACTGGATTGAAGTAGGTTGATGCCATTTATCCTCAAACTCGACAGCATCCTGTGTCAATGAGTTCCATTATTTAATCATGAACTGTATGAAGAACTATAATTTTTTCTTTCACCAAGCCTGATTTCTAAATATCTGTAAGCAAACTCAGGCTCTTCCATTTAAAGTAATGATAAAAAATTTCTTCCTATTTGCTTTTTCCATACAAATAATGATTTTATGGCTCTTTACCACAACCCCATCCCTAATCACTTTCATTGCAAGCTGAAAAATTCTAGTCTGTTTTACTGCCTCTGCAACCAGAAGCTACTGCATTTGCCCAACCATCCCCATTACCTTTCTTTGGGCAATTCTATCACACCTTTTTTTCAAAAGCGTATGGGAGAACAAGAATATTGCAGTGACCAAAACTACAAGCAGTATTCAAGATACTGACACATCAATACTATAGTAATTTTAATTTGTCCTCTGTTCTTTTCACAGCAGCTCTTAATAACCTGTATTCCTTTTTTACTGCTGAACACCAACCTACTACTTACAGGGAACCACCACAATGACAGAAGATCTCTTTTCTGAGTTTTAACAGCTCAGAGCCTACCACTGAATAGATATAGTTACAATTGTGTTCTTCCCATGTATACTTTTAATATTTATTGGTTTTGAAATTAATTTGTATTTATATCAGTTGATCATTCAGTATCCCAACACACTTCTGCAGCTCCCTGAAGTTTCAGTTTTGATTACTCTCAATAATTTATCAGAAACCATTATCATCTTTCCAACATTTATCCTTTTCCCCCTTTAATTCCTATTTCCTGATAGGTTACTGATCCATGAAAGGCCCATCCGTTTACTCCATGACAGTTTACCTTGAGAAATTTAGAGAAGATATCTCATCAAAAATCTTTTTGAAAGCCCACATACTTTGTTTTGGCCAAAATCGCTAAGAACCACCATAGTTCCTGAAGGTCTCTTAGACTTCATCCAACATACATTAAAAAGAGGTCACACAGCACCCAGGACAGAACGAATACCTAAGTTCAGCAATACCTCCAGCTCTAGAGCCAAAAAAAGCAAAGTCACCGGATAACCAGCCCTAGGACACCACTGACTCACAAGCGAGCAAGATTGTCAAACTCTCTCTGGAGAGAGGGAATAGGTTTTTCTGATACTCCTCTGCATCAGGAGGCGTATCCATCTGCAAAGTTCCAATAACAGAAATAACAATCTTGCAACACCTTCACCAGGTGCACTAGGTATGAAACTCCACTGCACTAGGTATGAAACTCCACTGCAGTCAACTTGTCCTGTGCATCTTTGAAGCCTGAAAGCACCATGAATGCGCCCAGCATTCAGACAAACTGAAGCATGTTACTTCAGGGACCAAAGCAAATGCTGAGTTTAACAAACCACAAATAACAAGTTTACATGGAAAACATCAAGAAAATTGAAGTCTATATCACAGATACCATAAAATGCAAGGAAGAAATTAAACAGGATGTTATTAATAAAAAATCGATTACATATACAGCATAATCACAGAGTTTTAAAAATACATAAATCTAACTGAAAGTGGTTCAAAGCAGTTCCTGTAACAAAGCATTACCAACACATACATGGGTCCATAACCTTTGATTTTTGATATTTCAGTTTTGAAGCTAAATTTCAGATTGTATGGTTTAAAACTGAGTATTATTTTACAGCACATCAGCTAATAAATCAAACTTAGTTAAATTTTCCTCAAGTTTTCCAGACTTTCAAATCTGAATCTTTTCTTTAAACACAGAGTTGTGTTTAGCAATGCAGACCAATAAAAAATGCAATGTTGCAGTTGCAAGTTAGTGTTTACAAAATTAAACTTGATACGATTAATTAGTCAGATAAAAAAAAAAACAAACCAAAAAAATCCCAAACCACCATCCCCCCAAAAAACCCAACCAAAAAACCCCACAAACAAACAGAAAAAAAAAAAAAAAACCAAACCAATAACAAAACAGAAGAAAGCCTAGATGTTACAAATTCAGTATTCTGGAAGATCTCAGATTCCTTTAAACCTTCTACAAAGCGTAAGAGTCATATTTACACTTCACAAACTCCAATGAATAAAAATGCTTACCATTTTTAATGTGTTGTGACAACACTAAGCTCAGGAGGGTCCACCTTTCTGAAGAGGATGATTCTGATGGGGTTGCTATAGGTTTTAAGCCCAGGTGACACAGATCATCCGCCAGCGTTACAAGTCTTTCCCCAAGTGTATCTCCTTTTAGCCAGTCAGACACTAAGCAAAGTTTTGTTGTGTTTGAGCATGCCTGAATCACAAGAAAATAATTCTAATAATCTTTTGAGGGTATTAATTTTTATTACTAGCTAAGCATAAGATTAACATGTCATCCTGCACACACAAGGAGGAATAATATAATCTGCCATAAACAATATGTCTCCAGATGTTTATGTCTACAACAATTGCCCCAGCTTTCTTTTTGGTCAAACAGAACAACTTATGGCTAGGTCAGACCTCTACTTTAGAGTGAAACAAGTCACCTTCTAAAAGCTCTTATTTTTCCTTTTTTTCCAACTATAGAGTCCAGGTAATACCTACACTGAAGTCGGAGAGATAACTTTTGGATGACCAGGTTGGTGGAAATAAAATAAAGTAACAGGAAATCTATTTAGAGCATCTGAATTTCTCTAAAAAGAAATGGAAGGTCACAACTCAGCCAAGCATTACTTTGGTGATAAGCCATTATAAGTTACAAAATCATAAAAACTGAGGACTCCTGAAATACACAGTAACTCTGAGGAAAGGTATTATGGTCAATGCACTGGATTCTAAATCAACTGCTATGAGTTCTTGTAATACACTTCATATTTCATTCTAGGCAATCACCTACGTATCAGTGTCTCAACATCCCATGTGAAAAAATCCGTACACTATCTTTTTCTTATAAGTATGATGTAAGTGTGATGATACAAATAATCATTCAAATTATTAGTCTGATACCCAGCTTCACACTCTCTACCTTAGAAGGGATTACCAGAAACAAATCAGGAATCCCCATGACTCAAAGAGCAAACTGGCCAAAAATAGAAGGGAAAACAATACATTTGTTTTGGTATCATCATTTCATTTCTAAGACTGTACCCGGATTTAAATGCAGTTAAAAAAAACAACACTCAAACTACTACTACAAGATGTTCAAGCTATGGAAATTATCACTACTTAAGTAACGTCAAGAAGTCAAACATAACTCTCAAAGCTAACAACACAGAAATATTCAAAACAAGAACAAAAAAAATCTTAAGAGGTACCTCTTGAATTATCTGGAGAAAAATACTCCATTTCAGATCCATCTGAAAAAAAAAAAAAATTCCACAACATTTAACAAATTCTTTGCTGAATAGGAAGCATTTAATACCATTTTCGCAGTTTGCTTTACAAATTTATTTTCTGCAGTGAATAAGCAGAAGTTGCTAAGCTGCAGTAACAAAGTTATTTTTGGTGTCCAAGTCTTTCTCTACCACAAAGATCAATAAGGGACTGCATTTATAAGAAAGGTCATTAATGATTAGTATAAAAGCACACTGTTTAAAGAAGCAAGAATATATAAATTCTGATGTTAACGTTACTTTTTAAAAAATTATTTATAACATATAGAAAGGGATATGTTATAACCTTTCACCCTGACACTGTCATCTTCCTTAATGATGAACTTATCCAATCATGTAAACTATCTTCCATTCCACAGCCCCAACATAAAATGATTAACCAACCACAGCCCACAAAAAGAGCAGTGACTTTGATAAAAACTAATAACAAAATATATGAGAATCATACCTTTGTTAAATCATCAAGAATTATTTTCCTTTCATCATTACTGTTGCAACAATTAAGGACACTGTACAAAATATCCACCAGAAAATGGGTGTCTTTCCTCCAGTCTTCTTTCAGCCAAGTTATTAAATTCAGGTACAGAAATTGTACAGATGGACTTTCATGATGAGCTTTAGTTTCTTTTTGGGATTCAGTTTGAGCAGAGCTTGCATCGTTTCCCTGTTCTAAAAGTACTTGAAAAACTCTGTTTGAAGAAAAAGAGTTGAGCAGGGCAGAGAGAAATTTCAAATGCTGTTCTGACTTCTGCTCATTTACATACACAATACTCAGTTCAGCAAGGTTGCAGACTAAATTTTCTAAAGGTTCTTTCCTTAGAAGTGAACTGTGCTGCAAGTCAGCCTGTATTTCAGAGTGACTGTTTCTCACTTCTGTGACCTTTCCATTCTCTGTGTTTCTTTCAGATTCATCCTCATCTGTAAATCTGATTTTGAGAGATTTTCTGTTGTTTGGTTTTGTAGCACTCTTTGGATTCTGAAGAATTTCCAGCATACCAGATATGGCAAACAACAACTTCTCATCAGCATCCAATGTATCAACATGAAGTACACACTTTTTTAAAAGATGGTCCCAAAAATTTGACAACAGTTTCTGGAAAACTTCATCTGTGCTATCATCATTGGAAAGTTCTGCTTTAGCTTCCCAGGACCTCAATGTTTCTGCTATTTGATAAAATAATGGTCCATTTTGTAACCTGGGCTCCTTAAGTACAGCATCAATAAGGGGAATTAGCTATAAAGACAAAAATAAAGCAATATTAAAGAACAGTGATCTAACCAGATGATCATTTTATTCCTTGTAATACCAGTAAATGCTATAATTTTGAAAAAAACATTCCAGAAACAATTATAAAAACATCAGAATTACTTATGCTTGAACTCTTAATATAACAGGATGGGATGTTTTTCTTTATTTTTTAATATAATTTAAACTGCACAGTAAAAGGGAAGATTTTATAGGAGGGAAAAAATTGACTAAATTCAGCAAGGTATTTTTTCCATAAAATCTAGTGAAACTTTCAACAAAATCCTCATAGAAATTTACGTTTTTCTTTAACTTTGAATTATTAAATGTACACACATTAAGTATTTTGAACAAATACCTGGTCATATATAAGCATTTGATGAATTTGTCTTTGGTCATCTTCTTCATCTGCCTTCTGTAGTATGGCAAAGCGCAGACATTCCATAAATGCAATTATAATCGCTGAACTTTCCGAAGGACTGGCTATTGCTCGCTCACTTGACAACCTATTGAAAGGCAGCATTAGAGGGAGGGCACACTCAATCATCCATTCTTCTGAGAAACCCAGGACATATGTAATGAACATAACCTTGGTTACGTTGTTCTTGTCCAAACAACACCAATATGATAATACAGAGTCATAGAATCATTGACAGGAGTCATATCAAAACAAATTCAACAGGACATAATAAAAGAGTCAAAACAATAAATCAGGCATTTAATACAACTTATATTAAAATAATTTTTTCACCTAGTTTTAGCATTCATTAAAAAATACATGTGAAAATAGAGAAACACATCCAGTCGAGCATACTGTCTACTGTTCCATAGTACTTTTTGATGTATTTTAAAGGCAAAAAAACTAGTATCATGAGAATGAAAGCTCCTGCCTATAGGAATTTTCACAATCACAATACTAATCGCCAATAATCTCTGCAATAATTATGCACTGGTGAGAAGACCCTGTTATCTTCAAAGCTAATCTTTATTTTAAATTAATTTCCCATTTTAAAAATTATCATGGAATACAAACGAAGCTTTGACAATGAAAGATAAGAGTGCTTTAGGTAAGGAAGACAAATCAAAAAGACAGCTAAAGGTTTAGGAAGACCAACTTTTAAAGGGTTTAAAGGACTGACTCTAGTTTTGGATATTTAAAAATATTTTAAAAATACAATTTCCAAATATTATAGTGAAAACATCTTTTCTCAAATAAGCAAATAATGCATATCTATGATATGTTACTTATCTTTGGATGCTTAAAGAAGATTAGTTCTCCTAATGCAGAGTTCTCCAAATGTAAAAGAGACTGATTTCAAACAAATAAATAAATAAATAAATAAATAAATAAATAAATTTGTGTTTCATACCCTTGAATTATAGAGCTGAAAAATGTTCTGAAATATTCCAGCTTTGGTTCTGCAATGCCAGGAGGTACCTTGCTAAAGAACGGCAAGAGATTTGGGTATATAACAGTAGCTAGTCCTCGTCCACCTTCTCGAAGCACTGTCCATAGCTTTGGTAAAACTCCCTTTCTGGCGTTTACGTGACTCCAACAGTCCTATAGAAAGAAACACATTTATTGTAGGTTAAATGAGAATATGTTGCCTCCCATGTGAGGCATTTTAATCTACCTCCCTATGTTGTAGCTGAAACAAGTTATTGTAAAATTTAAATTCACTTGCCGCTATTTTTTAAAATAATTTTCTCCCTATTTCAGCTTGTGAATTTAAGAAGCTAATATGATAAAATTATTTCTGTATTGTTTAAAATCAATGGACCTTCCTTGTTAGCAAACTGCAATTAAAGGCTTCTTCTTTAATAATGCTGTAAGTACGCTTCATAAAAATCATTATTGTAACTGATCCTGTATTTAACTCTGAGTTCTTTTTATCAAGAGCAAGCAATGACTTCAATGACCTAACTTCAAAAGCATCACTAACTTCAAAACTCCTCCCCAAAATCTTCTGATTGTTCCAAAATACCTTGGCACTTTCCCCCAAAACATCAATTTTTTTGTCATCTGATCTATCATAGTTGCAGATACCTATTTTTATAGCAAGCTGAAAAAAGATATTAACCCCCCACACACAATTGTTACAGTTTATACCAGCAGTTACAAAAAAGATCTGCAGTATTAAACCCTCAAAGCATCCCTGTCTATGGCAACACCATTCATCCTGCTAATAAATTCAAAGGCCATATTTCACTTAAAATATAAAAAAAAAAAAAGGCAAAAAAGTTTTGAACCAAGCATTAAATTAGAAGGGGAAACAAACAAACCAAAAATCCACTGCAAGTCATTTTTATAACCGTCTTTAACCAAGAAAACAGCTTATAGTATTATTTTATTTATTAGTAACTATTTTAAATCAAAGGGAATCAGTTTAATTTTACCTTAATTAAACTCATAAAACAATTCAGATTTTCAGGCATGATGGACAGAATATATTTGAAAGTTACACTAGAATCCTAAAGAGGAAGAAGGAGCACGTAGCATTGATAAGTTCATGATATTAATCATGAAGAAAACCCAGTCAAGCTGAATTTTCTAATCCTACACAGAGAACAGTGGCACTTAGTGAAAAGTTAAATTCAAGTAAAATATCTGCCCCTTAGGTTTCCCACATTACCTCAACAGTGGCAATAACGTAAAGGACAGCTTCCCAAAGAGCAGGACACACCACAGCATCACTGTCATCAATGCCGAGAAGAACAGCAGGACAAACTCTTGGTGCTTCAGCTTTCACCAGCTCAGGTAAGTACTGGCATAAAGCAGAAGCCAGCTCAAAGAAAGCTGAGCGAACCTGACACAGGCCACAGAAAAATAAAATTTTAGTCAAATGACAATACTTTGTCTCTACATGCAATTTCTAACGTTCCTTTTGAAGTCACTGTAACTTACAACATGCGGTCCCCATATTTTATCACATCAGCAAAGGCTTCAATATTATGAAAAATAAAGAACAATAAAGAAACTCTTTTATAAGACTGTTTAATATTTTGTTTCAGTGATAAAATGCTTGTCAAAAATTTTAATATATTCTCCAAAAGCATGTTTTCTCAAAAGCACCTTAAAACTTTTTAAACAAAATGTTACCAGAATCAATTCTTCACTATGCGTTACTGGTCATACCAAAGACCAAATAAAATAGTTTAAAAAAATGAAAATCCAAAAGCACTAAGAAAAAATGGGCTAAACTGACACAGTTCGTATCTTTTACATTAATCTGAAACTAAAATAGTAGATGATTGTGACAATACAGTAGATGATTGCGACACTGAAATAAGAAATTAGCCTATTGGGCAAATTTTAGAGTAATACTGTCTATTTAAGGCCAGGAAATTTGAAGGCTGTTTCAAATATAATTCAGTGAAGTACAAAGTTCATTCTTGTAAAATACAAGCAATTAATACTTGCTTAGGTTCAGTGTATAATCTGTAACTAAAACCAACCAGAATAAAAAAGAAATAAAGTCACCTGTGGTACACTGTGTTTGCTGTATTTCCAAAATTTGTTTTGGGACAGAAGTGACATTAACTTTTCCTCCAATGAATGCATCTCTTTCTTTGGCAACATGCTAAGCAACGTTTTTAAAGCTAACAAGGAACAGGTCAGAATCCGGAAAAATTTGGCTTCCCTTTCTTCCTCTGGTACAGTTCTCAGAAAACAAAACAAAACAAAAAAATTTAAGCGAACTATAAACAAGTCAGTAGGCTTCTAAAACTCGTCTAAACTGTCTTCAGTTTTTCTGTGTTCTTTTAATTTCAGATGCCAGCAATGTAAATATGCAAACTTTCCACAGGTTTTAATGTTACCAAATTACACTATAAAGTGTTAGATAGAGTTTCAAGTCACCTCATCTTCCAGCTATTCAAAAATGCTACTCCTAAAAGAGCTGAAACAAGAATAAGACAACTGGTAACACTTTCAAAAGCATTTATACTTTAGTGTCAAAGAAAGTTGCTGGGATCTGGGCTCAAATAACTATTCTGTCTCTTGAAAAAAAATTAAATCCACTGCCTTCAGGGACAGAGAACGCAATACAGACCAAGACTTAAACCATATACATGAAAGCAGGGTAACATACTGGGGGTCACTGAGCGTATCAGGAGTTTCTTTCAGAAGGTGATCTTGAAGTACCTAGGGGAAAAAAAATACATATATACACATGAGGATCAAATATTTATATATAAATAATATAGTCTATACATTATTCAGAAACAGTTCTACAATAAAACTTCACAACCCCTGAGTCAGGTCTTTTAAATACATTTTAGACATGATAGTGAACAAGAACATAATTTGACTCCTGCTGAACACAGCAGCTGTGGTACTGTTTGAATCAAGACTTCATAATACTTCGTAAGTTGCAGTCCTATGACAACAGGCTTCTGGTAAAAAGAAGCCAAACTGAGACAAACCAAACTGGTTAAGTTTAGAAATGATGGGCCAGCAACACAAATTTTCACCTTTTTAAATTCAGTCAATTCAGTTTGATAAACAACTGGCAGAAGAGCATTAACCTTGGTCAGAACTAAACTTGTAGAGGTTCTCTGAAACACCATTCAGCATTTTTTAATCGTCTACCACTGCAGCTAAACTACTCTGGCATCATTATTCCATCTGCTAGCAACATTACATGATTACTGAGCACCATTACATCGGAAATGCATACATGAAAATTCACTTCATATTCATTCCTCTGGTTCCAGTCATTCTAACTGCAAGTCAAAAAATATAGAGGATGTATCACTGTCTCAGCCTTCACTTCACGTTAGCAGGAGCATAGTTTCAGGTGAGAAAGAAATTTAACCATGTAGAATAGATGGGGGCAGGCTGAGTTTTAAACTTGTAATAAAAGTTGACATATACTCAACAGAAAGCCTTAAAGAAATAACAAAAATATAAACTCACATTAAGAATTTCATCTTTACAGAATGCTAAGGCTTCAGGTTGTTTGCTTGAAGGAAAAGCTTTTTCAAAAGCTACTTTTGCAGCAGAAGCAGCAGGGGAGTAAGTGTCACATTGAGCAATCAGCCAGTATCCCATGATACTTTTTAAGTAAGGAGCTAAGTGTTTCTTTACTTTAAGAATCAGTTGCTCAAAAGACTGCTGAGTTGCTTCTCGAACACGGCGATCGTGGTCCTGTTAAAGGAAAAAGAAAAAAAAAGAGAAAGAAAGGTTTATTGGTTTAAGAAATGTACCTTTCATGCTGGGTACTTCAAAGCAGCTGACAGAAAACTGATGACACAAAAAAAAAGACATCTCTCAGTTGAACCATTTTCACTATGAATTGGGCTATATACATCTGAAAATATGCAACAACAATTACAAAAAAGTCTGCGTATGCCTAAATGAGGGGAGAGTCCTAACTTAGCAGCATCATATTCCTGATGTGTTGCACATCCAGAATTGTTACCTTTTCCTGATATCTCTAACTATAGTTTCTATTTCCATTTTATACAAACATTTAACAGAAAGACAAGAGCCAAGAGAAACAGGAAGACTTGAAGACACTTTTTGGATTAAAATGAGCATAAACCTACAAAAACTGTGCATCACTATCCATTATTTCTGTATGAATTTACAACATCATGACTTTCTATGCCCCTGGATCCTGAAAGAAATAGTAGGAATTGTTTTAACAGATCAGAATTGTGATTCATTTTGTCCAATATCACATTTCCAAACGTAGTCAGTCCAGATAGTTTGGAGATGTACTAAATATATCAGAAAAATACGGATTACCTGGCTACGTATAGTCTTTTCATGTTTGGGGGGGTGGGTGGATATGGTTTCTTTCGTGTTTGGTTTTGCTGTTTGTTTTTCATTTTTAATATTAAGTCTGGCGTAATATTAGTCCTAGACCAAACCGATTTGCAATTATGTTAACTGAACAGTACAGTTTCTTAGCTGTTCTGGAATCTATTCACTGCTTCCCATCACCAGGCAGGTGTTCAGACATCTCCAGGAAAGCCGGGCTCCATCACATATAATGGTTACTTGGAAAGACAAACACTGTAACTCCAAATGTCCTCCCCTTCCTCCTTCTTCCCCCAGCTTTATATACTGAGCATGTCATCATACAGTACGGAATATCCCTTTGGTCAGTTGGGGTCAGTTGTTCTGGCTGTGTCCCTCCCAATTTCTTGTGCATCCTCAGCCTACTCACTGGTGGGGTGGTGAGAGGAGTAGAAAAGGTCTTGGCTCTGTGTGAGCACTGTTCATCAGTAACTAAAATATCCCTGCATTAACAGTGTTTCCAGCACAAACCCAAAAAACACAGCCCCATGCTAGCTGCTATGAAGCAAATTAACTCTCCCCCAGCCAAAAACAGCACACCAGCAAAGTTAAAGAGATCAACAAAAACTGCTTTTGAGTTGTTCACAGAAAGTATCCAGAGTCTGAAGTTTTTAATTTAGATACTTTAATACTTACTAGTGAGATTTTACAATAAATTCTTGGCCAGTAAGGAAGAACACCTTTAACAACTTCTGCTTCTCTTTCCTTGCACATTGTCCCAAACTCTTGCATAGCCTAAAATCAAGATATCAAAAGCATGATTTAAAAAGTCAGACAGATATGTTCTGTGATTTACCAGCTTCTACCAGACACTGCAACATTCCTTTTCAAAAATCAATTCATTTCTTGCAATTGAGCACCTATAGAGTTAATTTTATGGAAAAAAAGGTCCATTGCATTGCATGATGGACCTTTTCCTAAGTCCTCTAAGATACCTTCTGGCTTACAGTTCTAGCAAACTTACCAATATGAAACTAGTATTAGCTACCTTGACATATTCCTCTCCCATCCTTAAGAAAAATGTATTGTTTTCCAATAAAAACAGGTTGGGGGGGACAAAGGATACACCTACTTTTAATTTTGTTGTGATGTCCCTTTTAGAAAGTTTTCGCAGCACCATTCGAAAATCAGCATCCACAAGGCTGTCTATTTCCTCTGCTCCTTGAATGGCAGGGACATATCCTAGATCACTCTGAGATGTTCCAAAGCCAATAAACCCAGGCACTGTTCCACGTTCTTTGGCGAGGAGCTCTGCGGCCCGCCCACTGCTAGAAGGCTGACAAAAAACAGGGACAGAAGTCAGTTATCTATTTCAGTAATTTTATTTTATTTTACACACGTCAGGCATTTGAAATAATGATCCTATTAATGTTGTATAATTAACCTTCTATTTAAAACAAAGTCTCACAAAAAGGCCACCTATGCTTTAAACATAGAAGTTTGACCTAGAAAATTACTCTTCCCTTTAGATTTAGCATGCTCTTCTCATAGTGATTGTAATCCACGAATACTCACAGAAATCATACTGTTTATCCACACATGCAAAAAAGCAAAACGGAAAAGTCCTTCTTTAAGTGAACAATTTATTAAGAAATTATTTACCCTCCTTTACTACTTCTGTGTTTACTAGTTCTTCTTATGTTATTGCATATGGACCAATAGAACTCCCAAGGAATGTTCTTCATATCATTGGTAAAAGTAAGAACACACACAAAACAAAGGATGCTCCCAGCAACAAAGGGGGCAAGAAGGATTAAGAGGAATGGAGCAAAAGGGTACGTATGTAACACAGGGCAATACCATCCTGTTAGTATTGCAGTGAGTGTTTTGAAGGTCAGCATCTCTTCTCTCTTCTAGTTTGCCCCAGGTAAGCCAACACATTGCTCATCATATCAGTGGCTCATGTTTATGTCAACTACTCTTCTGAAAAAGAGGTCCCAAAACCGACTGATGCTTTAATGTTCTCTGTGACACCTCATATTCCAAATACCTTTTATTTCCTAATGGCAGTTGCAGTTTTGCGAGTTTGTTCTTGTTTTGGTTTGTTTTTTAAAGTAATGACAATTTACTGAAGTTCTTGTACTTTTCTGATTTTCTTGAAGTATGTAAGCCACACTTTACTCAACTACTATACCCACAGAGTAAGTAATTTTTTTCTGCATGTGAAACCTCAGCTATACAGACTCACTTCTTTGAGTCCCCTTGTCTTATCTAAGTATGGGAGAGGGAAAAGATGTGCAGGACTCCCACAACCTGAACACAGGACTTTGCCTGCAGTTCTCCCATCCCGCGCAGGTGCCACATATGACAGATGTCACACACCAGGCACGGCGGGCAGGACGGAAACACCACGACAGGTGTTTCCTTTACAATCCTCACAGGAAAAAAAATAATACACTAACCGTACCCACCGCTACCTTGCTGAAGTTACACACCCCTGTCCCTGCCCCTCTCCGGAAAGCCGCGGGGAGTTGCCACCACACTCCCCTGAAGCAGGGGCCCAGGCCCAGAGCCGCCCCAGCCCCACCTACTCCCACCGTGGGACAGCGTTCGGCGGCCTACAGCTCCCTTCCCAGGGCACTGCGGGGGGAAGGCCGGCCTTCCCCCGCCCGCCGCTGCCGGAAGGCCTAACCCCGAGGCCCGGGCTCCGCCGTCCTTCCCCCGGCCCCACCGCGGCGCTACCCGGGGCCCAGGGGCGCGGCGGGGCGCGCTCACCCGCAGGTTGCCCTTGGTTCGCTGCTTGTTCTTGCCCCCCATGGCGATGGCGGCGGCGGCGCTGGGCCCCGGCCGGCAGCGAGGAGGCGCGCGGTGCTTCCGGAGGGCGTGGCCAGGCGCGCGGCGCTGACGTCACCCCGTGGGGGCGGTGCCACGTTCAGGGCGGCAGCGGGACAGGAGAAGAGGACGAGGGGAACATGGACCCCGCTTTCTCTGAAGGGGACCTTAAGCGATCAGCCGCTAGAACAGGTTGCCCAGAGAAGCTGTGGATGCCCCATCCCTGGAAGTGTTCAAGGCCAGGCTGGATGGGGCTTTGGGCAACCTGCTCTAGTGGGAGGTGTCCCTGCCCATGGCAGGGGGGTTGGAACTAGATGATCTTTAAGGTCCCTTCCAACCCTAACCATTCTATGATCATCTCCAATGCGTTGTTGTGATACCTAAGGTATATTTCATGTAGTTATAAATGGTTAAACTGTGGAGAATCTTCTTTTAGCAACCATCTCAAGGACTTAGTAAGATAAGAAAGGATGCACATGGCCCTGAGAACATGCTGACCTAAAACAGGGATGCAAAAAATACGGACATTGTCTGACAAACAGGTGGTAGCAGAGACATCCATGAGTTTTAATGAGCAATTAAGCAGTTAGAATGTTTTGCCAACATGGAAAGTGAGGCAAAGGACAAATGAAGAAGATAAAGATTGAGGACCAACCAACCCTCACTCGAGGACCACCAGAAGGCACAACTACACATGCCCAAAAGCTTATTATAATATGTAAATGATTCTCAGAGATATAATGAATATAGAATCATAGAATTGTCCAGGCCGGAAGGGACCTCCAAAGGTCATCTAGTCCGACCTCCCCGCAGTCAGCAGGGACACCCCCAACTAGACCAGGTTGTCCAGGGCCTCGTCGAGCCTCACCTTGAATATCTCCAGGGAAGGGGCCTCAACCACCTCCCTGGGCAACCTGTTCCAGTGCTCCACCACCCTCACAGTAAAGAACTTTCTCCTAATCTCCAATCTAAATCTGCTCCCCTCCAGTTTAAAGCCATTGCCCCTTGTCCTGTCACTACAGGCCTTTGTAAACGGGCTCTCCCCAGCCTTCCTGTAGGCTCCCTTCAGGTACTGGAAGGCTGCTATAAGGTCTCCCCGGAGCCTCCTCTTCTCCAGGCTGAACAACCCCAGCTCCCTCAGCCTGTCCTCATAGCGGAGGTGCTCCAACCCCTTATCATCCTCATGGCCCTCCTCTGGACCTGCTAAGGTTTTCTTGGAATTACACTGAATCTGTATACCTGTTGTGTATAAATTTAATTTGACAACAGAATTCGGTGTGCACAATAGGAGGAGCTATCCCCTGCGCACCTGGCGCCGCAATAAAGAATGCCTGCTTTCTACACTGTAAATTGAGTCTTAGAAAGTTTTATCTGCCGGTTTGTGGTAACAGTTGTGACGTATAACGTTGGCGCCCTCTACTTAAAATACCCTTAAACTTTGTACCCATCTTCAATGTGGGGAGAGCTACAAGCGTGTCTTGGGCCCTTTATTAAGCGGCGGTATTCACGTAGGCTTATAAAGACTTAATTACTTCAGGTAGAGGTAAATCGGCGCTTGTGGAATGAAACCACTGCAAAGCCACCTGAACGTTAGCAATTTTACTGGATCTACGCAGAAACATTTAATCGACATCAGAAGCAACCAATGCCTGCTTTTTTTATGACATGTATGGAATTTTAGATACGGAATCCATAAGTACAGAAGCAAATTGGCATTTGTTGATACAACTCGGTTGAGACCAGATTAAAAACCGCAAGCGGCGTGATGCACTCTCCATCAGTGCACCCCAAACTTGTCAGCTCATCAGGGTAAGGATCATTTGTTGTCCCGGTTTGGAGTGTGCTGTCAGGGAGCCCACATCTTGGTCGGCTTCTGCTTTAACGTAAGCAACCAGACTGGGCTCCTCAGCTACGGATATAGTGGAGCCACCAGAGTACTGCTCTTAACCTCTCTTCACACATGCTTACCTACAGAAAATTCTTATGCCTTAAAGTAAGCATCCTAGCTCATCTTGTCTGCATGAAGAAAGCTTTTGTGAACTTGCTCCCTCCTTTTTTTTTTTTTAAATAAAACATTAATACCCTGTCTTAACATACTTCCAGGTAGAAAGTAGAAGAAAAGATTGTGCAGAATGTAGTGTCTGTAAACAGTAACAAATAATGTAAACATCAGATTTCCTCTCCTGAGATATCCACATTTGATTTTTGTCTCTTCTTATTCATATACTCCTTCACTAGAAATCCATTCATTCATCTATAATTCTGTAACTGCCTGGTAAGTAATCAAATGTATTTTCTTTCTTTGTAATTAGGTATGTACCCTAAATGTTCTTAAAACTGGAAAGCGTATAAAGCATGTTCTCTTTTTTTTTTTTTAAATAAAACATTAATACCCTGTCTTAACATACTTCCAGGTAGAAAGTAGAAGAAAAGATTGTGCAGAATGTAGTGTCTGTAAACAGTAACAAATAATGTAAACATCAGATTTCCTCTCCTGAGATATCCACATTTGATTTTTGTCTCTTCTTATTCATATACTCCTTCACTAGAAATCCATTCATTCATCTATAATTCTGTAACTGCCTGGTAAGTAATCAAATGTATTTTCTTTCTTTGTAATTAGGTATGTACCCTAAATGTTCTTAAAACTGGAAAGCATATAAAGCATTTGTTTAGTCATTTTCATTATTCAGGATTTCACTGGATACTTGTTTTCACTGAAAACTGGATTCATCATACAAACCATGAATTATTAATTCCCTCTCTGATCAGCTGTGGCAGAACAGCTAAGGAATCTGTTACGAGGATCAACTTACAAATGTAGGCACTTGGACCTGTGGTGATCTTCAATTTCTTCAATGCCCTTCAACCCCAAAGTACATCTGAAAAATGTCAGCACATCCTTTTTCTTCTAAAAACCGATATAGCTGCCCCAAATCCATATGATTTCCTCTGGAACCATGTGCATCAAAACATTTTTCTTCCAAAGCAGGGAACTTCCTTTGTTTCTGAATCTCAGCATGCCCTCCACCTTCCAAAGAAACATCTTCTCTGTGCCGAATGAGAATTCTTTTCCACGTTAACTTTCTTACTCTGAAAGCAATTGGAGAAATATGAATCTATAAAATAAAAACTGTTTTTAGAAAATATTATCAAATAGCTATTATCACAGAAGCCAATAAATTCCATTTGTACATATATGCTGGCAGAGATAATGGCTCCCTAGCTGGTCATAGAAATATTACTCACACGTAAACACTCCCATAAGCAGGAGCTGGTTTCTTTGTATCTCCCCAGGATTCAAAAACCTCAGTGTTATCCCTCACAAAATAATTGATGAAGATGTGGTTTCGATTTCAGTGCTCATTTCTGCCTTGCGTGTGCTAAGAATTCCCATATTGTCATACTCTCTTAGTGGTTATAATCAAAGGGCAATGTTCATTTAGTCTGCACCATCTAGAAGTTTAAATGATGGGAGCAGAATAAGACAGGAATGTAAAGCGATATAACAGCATACGGTATCTAACACGACTGGGGTACTGCAGTCCATCGCTATACAACTGAGATACAGGAAGATAAAACAGAATACATGTGCACCGTGCATTACTAGTAGCCTTGATTACTGTAAACAAGAGTACAGTGGATGTTCAGAGTTTCAAATACATTATGATAAACACAAATACTTTGCAGACTTTTATAGGTTGGAAGGTGGTTGGATTTCACACCTTCTGGCCACATAGACAACGTGAAACACGCAATATTCTAACTACTTCTGGCATTTAAGTACAAAGAAAAACTAACCTTGACCAGAACTCTTCACAACTACTTTGCAGACCTTCTACACAAACAACACCTGGTTTCCCTGGCATGCAAAACCCTGACAGAGAGAGCTCCTTGGCCCAGTCAATAATATTCTTTCTTTTTTGCTTGTTGTAAATGTGATGACTATAGATCCACAATCGAGTGAACACAGTGTCTTCTGGCTGCATGGCATTTGATGTTGTCACTGAGGAAGATGAAAGCTCCTTGTCAATGTAAGCAGCTGCATGATCTTTCACCCATTCCCTTGCACTCAACATGCAGGGCTCACCACTGCAGTTTTGCATCAAATATGCTTTTAGGTCAGAGTTCAGGTGAATCTGCTGAGAGCGGCTTAATAATGAAGACCTAAAGAAAAATATAAACGCAGTTGTAATATGCTTACAATTTAGCATGGTTTTCAAACAGTTTTACTTCAAGCTGTCAAAAAATCAGGCCATATTTAGATGGTATGCACTAGCTATTGATACTTAAGTCATATTAGCTATGAAAACGTCTTATTTATCATATTTTATTGGTGTGCTAACTCTTGAGCTCATATATAGTACTACCAATCTCTAAATTAAAATCAAGAAAAAGGTAATTGAAAAGTAAGTACGGTGACTGATTTCCTGTAATATGTAAGGCTACTTCTTTAAACAAAAATGTTCCAACAAAAAATAACAGAAGCCTGGGAGTAACAGCATTTTGACAAGGGAAGAATAAGACCACTGACTAACTTTTCAGTTCTTTAGTTAACGTTAAGTCCTGTCAAAATGGACAACAGTCTCTCTTCTTGAGCATCAGACCCAAGAGTATCTGCATGTAACCCCTCTGTACAGAAGATGGCACTCTTCCACAGTTTTCCCATTTTTCTTACTTATTTGCTGAGGACACCTGAGAAATCTAACCTTGGAGACCTTTTTCTTCAACATTTTTGTCCACCTGGCTTAATTTGACAGTAAATATCAAAAAAAAAGACCTGGTTTTTTTCCTCTTATAACTGCATTTATGTAGCACACCATACCTTTTAAATGTTTTTATTAGCTGTACTTTTAATGCCATACCTCACAGTAATTTCTGGTAGAACAGTTGGATATTTAAACGGTAAGGCACAGGTCATAGCAAATTCCACCTGAAAGCAAATGAGCAAATGTTCAATTCAGGCAAGCCTTAAAATCCCACAAAATAAAAATAAAATAAAATAAAAATAATAAAAAAAAGGTGTTTACTGTACCATAGAGGTATTGGAGACCTGTGGCTTAACATTCAGTATAAACTGAACTTTTGAAGATGGCATCTCTGCAGACTCATTTTCAGCATAGTGCTTTAGTTCTGCTAGAGCCACCTGGTCAGTCACAACGAACTCTTCCTCATAGGGAAACATGCTGGAGAGTAGCTCTAATTCCGAAATTTGGATCTCAGCTTCTTCTCGGTTAGTCATTTCTGTTGTTTTCTAAGCAAAGAAGAAATGGGGGGAAGAAAAACAGGACTTGAATATGAAACGAAGTTCATTAACTATCCTCACTTAAATCATACTAATCCTTATAACCACATCTATCGAAACTAATTTTTGTATGTTGGCAGCGGGAAGCACGGAGACACTCTGTGACAGCCCAGGAGGTTACCATTGACCTGAGGTGGGACAGGACGTGACGGTGGGCAGCCGAATGACAGAATCGCCGAGGCTGGAAGGAACCTTTAAGATCACGGAGTCCAACTGCTGAAGTGCCAAGTCCCAGCACTAAACCACGTCCTCCAGCACCACCTCCACCTGCCTTTTGAACACCTCCAGGGACGGTGCTTCCACCACTTCCCCGGGCAGCCTGTTTCACAGCCCTTTCCCCCTCGCAAGGATGCGCTTCTGGCGCCCACCGGCAGCCCAGAGGGACCAGGGGCGGGGGAGGCGGCCGCGCATGCGCCGGCCCGTCCCCGTCCCCTCCGCCGCCCTTCCCGGGCCGTGTCCTCACGGCCCCACAATGCATCGCGCCGGAAGCTCGCATGGCAGCCGGTCACTGGCGCCTCCACAGCTCCGCGGGTGAGGTGAAGCTGCCGGGTTGCCTTCCAGACGGAGCCATGCGCCAACAAGCTGTTCGCTCCGCGGCACTGCCAGGTGAGGGCCGCCCCCTCCCTCGCCATCGCGCTCTGCTACCGCCGCGGCCGCCCGCCCGCCTCCCCCGCCCTGAGACTCACTCCACCGCTCCGCAGCCTCCGCTCCGGCTGGGACACTCCGCTTTCCCTATTGGCTGCGGCGCCTGTCAGCTAAGGCACGGGAGGCGGGCACGGACCAATGGGAGGCAGGCGGGGCGGTACAAGTGCCGTGGGGTGCGCGGCGGCGGCGGTGGTGAGCACGCGGGCGGCGCGGGCCGGGCTGGGGTGCGTGAGGCGGCGGGACGGGCCCGGCAGGTACCCAGCCCGGCAGGTACCCAGCCCGGCCGGGTTGTACCGAGTCCTGGGGCGCGCCTGCTCCCCCGCCGCTGCCCTCGGGACAGGGAGTGTCGGTTCCCCGCTGGCGACGGGTGTGCAGCGGAGCCTCCGGGGCTCAGCCCCGCCGCCTGAGGTGGGCTTCCCTCCCCCCCTCCTCCGCCTCACCCCCCGCCGCCTCCCCGCCGGTTTCTCAGGCTAGCTTCTGGGGGGTGTTAGGTTTTTCCCCTTGAGTTTCCAACCGGTGCAGGTGCGCTGTTGGTCGTTTGCAGACTGCTCTTGTTAAAAATAATAATAATAACGATAAATAAATCAAACATGCCACCGTTTTATTCCTTTAGGTCTGCAGCGCTTTCCCTGGTGCGCCCTGTCCCGCGGGAAGGGCCGGTGAAGGGGCTGTCAGGCCAGTCTGGCCGGAGGTGGGGAGGCTCAGGTTAAGGTGTTGCTGCTGCCCTGTCCTCCTGCCAGGAGCACAGTCAGTTTGGGATGGGTTTTAACAGCTTAGGGTTGTTCACGTAAGATCTAATGTGTTTTGGGTTTTTTTTTTTGGCTGAAAAGTGTGCTGTTAGGAGTCTGTTGGATGAACTGTTGTTTCTTTCTCTGAACAAATGGCATGCTAAGTTGCAGAAGTTGATAATTCAACTCTCGATTAAGTGGCTGTCATTTAACAGCTGGGTAGTCTGTCATTTAACAACTGGGTAATTTGCCCTAAAAATCATGCTTTGAAAAGGTTTGTCATACGCAAAGCCCTCAGTGGGTATCGTGCCTCAACTCTTCCTGGTTCAGTTTCTGATTCTCTTGGGCTGGCTTCGGTTTTCAGCCGTGACAGCTCCATGCAGGCAGCTGTTCTCTGGGGCCGGTGTGCTGCTGAGTACACAGCTCAGAAATGGTTAAGGAAGCTTAAGAAATGGTTTTGAAAGGGTGGATTTTACAAGTCAGATTTAGTGCTGTGCTGATGTGTTTATGTGAAGGAGTGGGCAGTGGGGTTAGGCTAGCTTGCAAAGACTGCAGAGACTTGATTTTGAAGCGGTTTAGCTTGCATGTTTTCATTGTATAAGCATGTGTCAGTCTTTAACTTTACCTAATCTTTTTGAATGATCTTCTGTCAGGTAAGGTACAGGGTCTTACAGGGGCGACAGCCTAGAAGCTAAAAATGTCCTAACATATGTGCGGTAGCCAACTTTTTGGAGGCAAGCACTTGGCTTGCAATTTTGTAGTGGTAGATCAGCCCTGCCTAGAAGGGTTTACAGGCATACCAAAGAACAGGCCCTGTCTGAATTACTTGCTTGATATATTGGGAAATGAATGATAAATCTCCCCCAGTGAAGAACCAGAAAAATCTGAACTCCCATTTTCTATGTATTTTCAGATATGTTAGAATGTTTGCCTGTATCAGACTTCATCAAAGATACAAGGAATTTGTGGTAAAGAAAACTGGAAGACTGTAAATGCAAAAACCTTGAAGATTTAATTGGACAAACCCAATTCTTTTTCCTAAAATCCCTGTGATATTAGTTAGTTAAAGTACAAGTCCTCAAGATTTATGGGAATTTTTGATACTTAAGTTTCCCATCTTGTTCTTTTGTGCAATGCTTTTGATTTAAGGTTTTTAATCACTTGTTTTTTATAATTCACACTGTGATCTTCTACAACAGTTTCATCTTAAAGTATAATTAATTTATTTTCTTTTGAAATTGTCAAATTAAAACAAGTTAATTCACCTGAAGGGACACCTTGGCCATAGAAATAACTTATTTTTTAGCACTGAGCAAGTAAAACAAAAACCAAGTTTCTAATTTACTGTTTTTCTTTGCTAGGTCACTGTTTCATGTAGAGAAAAATCACTTCATGTAAGAAAAAAGACTACAAATATGGGGAAGAAACGCATCAAAGGCAAAACTGCACTGTCTGATGAGTCTCCAGATACGCTAGGTATGTTTCCTCAGAGAAGTCTGTGGTGTAATGTTTGTTTTAACCTCAAAGAGGGCCTGAAAACTCATTAATGTTAGAAGGCCTTTACACTAGTCACTGTCTTTGAAGTCTCATTTGCAAAGTGTGGATTTGTAGAACTGAAACTGAACTCTACCAAGAAGCATTAGTGTTGTGACTTTTCTAAGTATGCTATAAAATAGTAATCCTATCTAGAAAACCAGGATTATTTTCTGGTTTTCAGGAAACTCAGACACAATTCTTTACTGATAACACAGATTGTATTGAATGATGTAAAATTCCTCAGAGTATAAAAGGCTTATAGAGTCAGCTGCTAAACTTGTCATGGTAGGTTTAATTAGCATTTTCCTAATGAAGCTTTTGTTGCAGAAGACTCTTGCTTCAGCAAAAAAAAAGATTGCAATTAAAATATTTCTCTGAAACCTGTTGTCTTTACAGTAACAACTAACTTAGTTCTAGCCCTGGACACCTCAGCTCTCTAGTCATAGTGCTTTTTGGTTAAAACTTCTTTCTCTTCCTTGCCTTCTGTTCCTTTAGAGAAAATCCCAAATTATTACTGTTATCCTTCTAGCTGTGCTGGGTCTCAGCCCTGTGTTGGAACTTTATTTGTTGTCTTGTTTACCCTGGTTATTCTAGCTCTTCTTATTGCTTGTGCTCTGTAGCATTCTCTTCTACTGCCTTGTCTACAAGGTCATAGGTAGTGTCTTGCCCATCTTTTTTGTTCATCCCCACTGGGGAAGCGAGTTGAGCCATGCTAATTTAGCTGGGAGAAAGAGCACTTACAGTTTTAGCCAAGACTTTCTCTTTTTTTTCTTTTTTTTTTTTTCCCTTCCCGGAGTCAAGATCAATGACTGTTCTTCATTTTTATCCAGAAAAAAAACAACAGTTATGATGCAATTGCTAATGGCATCTGACTTCTTTGGCTAAAAATAGGCTAGCCTATTTACAGTCCTGTAAAGCCCCAAATATAAAGTAGGACTGATCATAGTGAATAATCCCACTCTATAGTAGCGGCCAATATACAAAAGATTTGTTTAAAAAAGGCAATTTTGAAGTTGTAGATGAAGCTTGTGTTTTTTTAAAAGACTTAACGAATACATCTGAATATTTATATTTGGCTCTTACTGGCTAGCATTTGTACTGTGGTAAACTCCTATAATCTTGTACAGAAGCAGAACTGCAGGTACAAAACTTCTCACCAGTTTCAGCTCATGCCAAGAAAAGTTTGCTATCTTGAGGCTGTAATCTTGCATATGGTACTCAGCAAAGACAGATTGAGAGCTGTTATGCTATCTGCACAATAAAAATACCTTTGTAGCAAAGGATTTACAACAGTTGAGTTATGTAAACAGCTATGTAATTCTCAATAATAGTTTCACAGAACTGTGATTTATTTTTTTAAAAGCGTATTAGGTACATACAACTTTGTTTCTTTTAGCATGGGTTTGTTTACTCTAGGTTTTGACTTCTGGGGTAAAGGAAAAAAAGTATGTTCCTCTTTTTTTTTTATCTGGAAGAACTTGAATCTGTTTGCATATGCATTGTCTGCTTATTGCAGTTTCTCTCTACATGACTTAAGCTTACAGGCAGCTTCTCTTCACTCAAGTGACAGTATAACCAATAACCTTAAAGATGAAACAAAAAAAAAGTTAGATAATTATACTCCTGATAGTAGCTCTTAGCAGCAGATGCCTGTTCTTGGTGTAACAATTCTTACCAGAGTTTGGTAAAACAGATGAAGTTCACACCAGGCCCAGAAGATGCAGCTCCAGGTCCGGTGTAGTATTGTAGTGCAAAGTGATAACAGTATGGGTTGGGTGACTCCACCACTCTTTTTTACCATAGTCTGCTGCATAACTTCCTGAGGCAGCTCAACTGGAAGCATAATCTCCACTTTCCTGGGCCAGCCAGGTGATGCCTTGGTGACTGGGAACCATGGCAGTGGGCTGTGACAGCTCCCTGGGAGATGGGCGAATCGTAACACCACAATAATAGAATCCCATAGCCTGGCACAGTAGGTAGGTTTGTATCCAAAGATTTTGTCCCTTCCTCTGACTAGATGTAGATTTAAGTGATACAGGGGGCTTTTTGCGTTTGGGTTTTTTTTTTTTAGTAATGCAGTAGTTTAGGATGCAGCAACAATATGCCCAGACTCTGAATGGGGGTAGCAAAGGGTTCCTTTCTGATACGTCTGCTAAGTTGTCAATGTTTCTTTGGCTCTAGAAAGGCTATCCTAGCTTCTGGATTGCTGCCTGTGTCTTTGAAGCCTAGAGACATTTGCATTTTTTATGATACCTACATCCCTCTTGTGCTTTTTGTTTTGTAGAACCTCCGTGCAAGCATATTCGTAAAGGACTGGAACAAGGTCAGCTGAAAAAGGCACTGCTGAATGTGGAATGGCACGTTTGTCAGGACTGCAAGGCAGACAATAAGACACAAGAGAAATCTGAGGAGACTGACGAAAGCCCTTCGATATGGTTATGTCTAAAATGTGGCCATAGGGTATCTCTTGTTTTGTTGTTAATTTGTCTTCGTATCTTCATGCCATAACGCAGTGGAACAAGAGAGCTTCTAATTAAACTTTTATATTCTCTCTTTTTTTTTTTATTTCAAAGGTGGTGCAACATAAATGATTTGATATACTTTATTGTGATAAAAATTGTCTGCTTTGAATTGCAAATGAAGCACTTAGAAGCTTGGCACAAAAGCATTTAGCAGACTTAA